TTCAATCTACATACGCTGAGGTAGGATGGTTTCTGTAACCTTGAAGGAAACAGAAATGGACAAACAATAGTGCAATATGTAACAGTTATTTAAACTATTTGAGGTAGAAATATAGTGTGCGAACTCACAATAGAAACAAACAATCCACATCTAACGATATTTGTAGCTTTGTTTGATAGTTCTTTCCATCCAGTATATATGAGAAAACACAATAGAAAGGTCTTATGGTATAGTATGTATATACACAAAGCAAAGGATAAGAAGCGGTATCCTACTTACAATATGCAGAGCAATGATCTGCTCTGGTATAAAGAGCGTTGGTGGTATTATCCCCACCTAGGAAATGCAGAATACACCAGGAGATGATGACACGAATATGATGATAAAAAAAAAAAATGTCATAAAATGGAAATATACCTTTACAAATATAAATACTTTATTTTAAATAAAAGATATATATATATATATATATATATATATATATAGAGAGAGAGAGAGAGAGAGTATATAGGGAGTAAATTCTTCCAGTACCAACACTTCGATTTTCCATGTAATACCTGATCTACTGGAAAGGCTATAGACCAGAGAAGAGATCATGGCTGCCAGCCTCTGATGTCTATGTGCCTTTATTGATACAATCCTTCCATATCAGATTTCCATTCTGTCTTGGTGAGCTATGTCCAGAGGGCAGTCCTAGTAGAGGTATGTAATTGTAAAATAGGACATTTTATAGGAGACTGTGAAACGAGGCTAGAAAGTTGTATTCATTAGACTTATGCACCTTGAAAAAAATTCAGTCCAGTCGAATCAATTTGTCTGAAATTTGTTTCTTTGTGTGGTCTAAAATTCCTCCATGTGGCTTTACAGTTAGCACGAATTTCAAACATGTAATCTTTTCAGGAAAAACTATTTGGAAAAAAACAAAAATCAAGCAAATAGGACAATCAATGTCCTGCAAAATATGTACAGAATGTAGAGTAAAATAATCTAATAATAAACCATAAAACACATTTTTCCCAACTATTTCAAGTGAAAATAAAAACCAATAGCGTGAAAAAAAGGGGAGCAGTAAAAATAAATAAATCTTTATTTTATATATTTATTAAATATATACTATACAAATATAGATTTTATTTTTAAAACTGCTTTTTTTTTTTTATTGTTCCAGGGCTGCCCCACCACATTGTGCTGCCTGTGTTTAATCTCCTTCATGAATGAACCTTATTCAAAATTCCTTTTGTTTATAACTGAGTTCTTTTTGGCCCATTTGCTGTGTGTTTGTTCCATCATAATTTAATGCTTTTTTTTAAGTACACCCATACATATTATTTATTATTTATTTAGAGGACAGATGGGGCTTTATTCTGAAACCCTATATGAATGCATGGGGCCAGGCTGAAAATGTTGTATCCTATGTTACTATCCAGGGCTAACGGTAACTCCCCATTGCAAACCTCCTCTTACGTGTCTTTTGGTTTAAAAGTTAATCACAGTAAAATTACAGAAGCCTTTTGTTATTAACTTAGCCGTGTTACGAGGAACACAGAGGAAATTATTTGTCATCGCTCTCCCTTATAAATCTAAAAATTTGCCCGGAAGGCATGCACGCTGTTCATTTTGAGTTTCACAGGCAGATTTCTACAATGATAACAAAGTTTTAATTTGCCGATGCCCAACAGTTTATTGTTTAATGCCAGTGTAGATGCCTGTAGGCACGGCCAAAAAACTGCTGATTTTGAACAGCACTAACGACTAAAGATCCCCACAAACACTCAGAGAGTCCATGGCACATATCCTAGGTTTAACATAAATCATCAGGGCTTAATTTCCACTCATCAATGGCTAGCTGATTAGCTGAAATGTTGAGTCCTGCATAGCACAACATTACATATGAATAAAATAATAATAAAAAAAAAAAATCTATCTATCCTCCCTTATACACAAGTATGCCCCGTCTAGGCCCTTACGATCTGCTGAAGACTTACGTCTATCTTCTGTCCGTACTCCCACCTCTCGCCTTCAAGATTTCCTGTGGAACTCGCTTCCCTCCTCCGTTAGATGCTCACCCAGTCTCCACTCCTTCGAAAAATCGTTAAAAACCCACTTCTTCATAAAAGCGTATCAATTAAACTGTTAATAGCTCCTCTTCTGCAACTGTCACTAGTCTAATACTAACCCTTACCTTTTTGTGTCATTTTACCCCACTCCCTCTAGCATGTAAGCTCATTGAGCAGGGCCCTCAACCCCTCTGTTCCTGTGTGTCCAACTTGTCTGGTTACAACTACATGTCTGTTCGTCCACCCATTGTAAAGCGCTGCAGAATTTGACGGCGCTCTATAAATATCATAATAATAATAATGTTTACAGAACTAGTGCTACTCCTGATTGTTAAAATGCCTCACATGTCTAAGATTTTAATTATTTTTTGGAACTTATAGGGAAAATATTACAAAGAGTGAATTACTGTTTTAAAGGTAAAACCTGTGCTTATACTAGAACGTAAGCAGCAGTCACATGATCTAAAGTCATTACTTAGAAATATATATTTGTAGAAAGCAGACACCAATAGTATTTTTGTCACATTTGCCATGTTGTCACCTGCTGCCAAATCTAGTGGTTATATTTAATCCTTTGTGTTTTTCACACACAACCCATTTTTTGTGGGAAGTTTCACAGTGTGTGTTAAGAGTAGTGTGTATTGTAGTGTGTCCCACTCTTGTAAAGACACCATGTTTGTATTCTGCTACTGATCCCAAGCACAGCAATAACCCCTATGTAGACTTTTGCCATATTTTGTTTCTTTATTTGCGTAAAAATAATTTACATCTGGGCCATAGTAGCATTGGTACAAATAAGAGACACAAAGGATCTGCAGACATAAAACGTAAGTTATATAACATAGTAGTATACAGTCCAATGTACATTCATATCAAGAGTTGTGATGGTACTAATAGGTGTATGTGCCTACTTCAAACCATGTATCTCTTACTCTGAGCTACTGGGACTCGAAAGGCGGATTCCACCACAGGTCCACAGCCGAGGTTCCTCTGTGAGCAGAGCCATGGCCCCGGTTTAGGCCTGGTCAGGAGGGAGAATGAGTTAGTGTCCAATAACAATTAAGGGTGTAGTAGACACTTCATGGTATGTGGGTGGTTTGTTCTGTGTAGCTCCTTGCACCATGCCCCTCGTTTTGGTCTAAAAGTGGTGGGTGATTATGTTGTTCCCTTAGATCATAAGTGAGTATAGGGAAAGGGCAGATTACTCAGTGCAACATATATATATATATATATATATATATATATATATGTATACACACACACACACACAATATGCAGCCCCCTGGTTTTATATATATATATATATATATATATATATATATATATATATATATATATATTATTATTATTATTTTTTAAGTGGTGAGTATGGGATTCAGGTGAGTTTCAACGTTAAACAGTGCTGTCAACCTAGTTTCAACATCTTAGTTGATAATTAGTCTAGACGTGTTGCGATAGATGGTGATGTTTAAACGCATAAGATGGCTTTTGTGGTGTTGGAAGTTGCGAGTCCCTGATTTGTTTGGAGAAAGGTGTCCCAAGGCTGCCAAATCAATGTGTATGTTGGGTAATTACATAGTTCTGATATTTTCTATTATTTGTATCCAATTCCTGATGGTGAGAGGGTTAACTTTTTTCCCCCCAGAAAAATTGGGATAAGTTGGTTTGCTACAGTAAGAATGTGGACCACTAAGACCTGTAGTTGTTTGGGGATATGTTTCGGAATTAGAATGTTTGCGGGGTGATTGCAAAGTATACATTCGTGATTGTTCTCAGCAGTGTAGCAATCCGATTCCAGAATGTTTGATCAATGGGCATTACCACCAAATGTGTATTGTGTGTGCTCCAGGTTGATAGCATCTCCAGCACGTATTGGTGTGGTAGGATATGATTTGTGGAGTCTGAGCGGAGTGTAGTGCCACCTTGTGAGGCACTTGTAATTGCTTTCTTTGGCAATCAGGTTGGTGGAGCATTTATGTGACTGGTGGTAGATGTGTTTCCACTCTTTGGGTTTGAGTGATTTTTGCAATTCCTGTGTCCATTTATCTATATAGGATGATGTGGTGTAGTGCTTTGTATCATGAATCAATTTGTACTTGGTTAAAGGGTGTTTACCTTTGAGAGGCTGGGAAGAGCAGTGAACTTCACATTTTGACCTAGTGCATTGGTCATCCGCTTGCCAGACTTATTAAGAAGTTATATTTTAAAAAGTCACAGACATGTCAATTGACAATTGCAGTTTTTAGGTCTCCCCTTTTCACAGAATCATTCACTGAGCATATGTCACTTGGGACAAATAAGTAGATACCAACTGCACTCTAAACTTTACTTTCTGAGAGTCCTTTAAGTACCTTTTTATGTTTTGCAATGAAGAGAGGCTTCCGTCTAACCAGTCTGTCATTAAGATCTTATCAGTGGAGTGTTGCCGTGTTGGTTGTCCTTCCGCAAGTTTCTCTCAGCTACACACATGATCTTTGGAGCTCACCCAGAGTGACCATTGGGTTTTTGTCACCTCTTTTACCAAGAATCTTCTCCCCTGATTGCTCAGTTGGGCTGGGCAGATAGCTCTAGGAAGAATCCTAAATGTTCCAAACTTTTTTCATTTAAGGAGGCCACTGTGTTCTTGGGAACCTTCAATGCAGCCAAATATTTGTGTGACCTTCCTCAGATCTCTGACTCAACACAATCCTGTTTTCCCCAGCTCTGTAGGCAGTTCAATTGACCTCATGGTTTGAATTTTGCTCTGATATGCATTTACATATTGTATAGATAGGTGAATGCCTTTCCAAATCATTATAAGAATATTCAGCTTAAGGTGGTCCGCACATGCAAGACCACTTCCACTGAATATAATCACCAGGGAGACACTCCAGTGGTGTCTCAGGGCTTGACCCCTGTGTTAAAATAGAAAGAGAGAACTCGAATACTCACATGCAAAATCAATTTTGCATGTAAGTACTGACTGGATGGGTAGTATTGACTGGACCTAATGGGTAGTCAACAATGGACTGTTGTGCTGCAGGAGGCTCTAAGTATTGAGACTTAAACAAAGCCTATCTCGTCCTGTCTATCCTAATCATTGACATTTATGGTTGCAGTTAATGAGTAAGTGCTTGTTCATACTAGTTTATAACTGTAAATCTCTATATTGTCTCCACATACTGAAGACATTTGCCTCAGATAAGCTCCAGTAGTAGACATTGTATTATCTCCCTATTTCTCTTGTAATAGTACAGCACTCTGCACTATTAATTGATGTAAGGAATCTTTATCTTTAGTTATCCCCCATATATATTCACCACCACTAATAAAGCCTGCTATTTAGGGGGTTCCCTTGTTAAAGATGTAATTTAGTCACAGGTTAGCCTAAGGGCTTTAGACTTAATATACAGGACTTTTTTGTATTTTTGGTTAAGTGTACATCTTTCCATTGACCCATCCAGTCAATACTTACATGCAAAATTGATTTTGCATGTGAGTGTTTGAGTTCTCTCCTTCTACCTTTCCAAATCATGTCCAGTCAACTGAGTTTGCCACAGGAGGACTCCAATCAAAATGCAGAAATAGCTCAAATATGATCCAGAGAAATGGGATGCATCCAAGCTAAAGTGTTATAGCAAAGGGTATGTCAGTTTGATTTTTAATTTTATACTTTTATAAATTGACCAAGTCTGGTTTTAGCTTTGTCATGATGAGGTATTGAATGTAGATTGATGTGAAAAAAAGTAAAAACTAAACAATTGTAGTATAAAGCTCAACAAATATGAAAAAATGATGCGGTCTGAATAATTCCTGCATGCACTAGATAGGGGTTGGCCATTCTTTGAGAGCTAGATGTTTTTTGATTGCACTCCCATTATGTTCGGCCTTAGGCTATTTGTGAATAATGGACAAGTGGTCCACAAATATCTGCAGAGCCAAGGTCAGTTAATGCTGGTGGATTGCATTTTCCTATGTGCTTTGTAATTAAGTTTATGGTCTACATTAATGGTTGCTGGGTGTCTGATATTTCACCAGAAAATATGGATATATCTGTCTGTTAATATTTACTGAAAGAAACTGGTCATTTAATATAAAAATGATTTTTTTAATACTGGGAAATATATGTATATATATCTATTCAATACAGTTTAATTGTGCATTTTGTAAATATATATATGTTAATACCTTTTAGTACATTTCCTGGCTTACCCTTGCTCCATGTGGTGATGGGCATTTTTATCCCATGCACATTTTGTATTTTAAATGCATGTGAGTATTATTGTTGTTGAGCCAGAGCCGATCCTGGGAGGGGGTGCGAACAGCCCAGGTGTTCTGTAGATAGGCGGGGTTTGTAGTGCTGGTCTCCGTCCCTCATGTAGATCCTGCCCCATTTTGTTAGGCTCTGCCCCTCTTCCAAACGGCACTGGTTGTGCAGGGCGGGGCCTAACAAGAGGGGTGGGATCTAACAGGGGGGCAGAGACCAACACTGCACAGTGCACACCTCACCTATCTACAGAACACCTGGGAGGTCCGCACCAGAGGCGTACCGTGGGGTTGGCGAAAGGGGGCGACCGCTAGGGGCGCTGGCCGACGGGGGAGGGGGCGCAAAAATCAAGTGTCAGTGTGACTGGTGTTTTTTGCGCCCCCTGCTCGGCCTGCGCCCCTGGCACCCCAGAGAAGCGTGCGGCTCTATAAAGGAACAGCATGCACAGTACTCACTAGGAGGGGGAAGCTCCTCCCCCTCCTTCTGTTCTGCGTAGGAGCGCCGGGTGTCACTACCTGGCGCTCAGTGTGAGAGCGCGCTGCCAGCGAGAGGCTGCCCTCTTCCCTGCACCATACACAGCCAGCACAAAACCATCACACATTGACAGCACAGCCCAGTGCTAACACACAGTTTCCATCACATGTACACAGCCCAATATCATTACACACAAACTATTCCTATTACACACAGACAACCCAATACCAGGGCCGGACTGGCCCACCGGGATACCGGGAAATTTCCCGGTGGGCCGCGGCACCTGGGGGCTGGCCGCGTTCCTGGCTGGAGCCGCCGGGCCGGGTGGCAGCTTCCCCGGTCCGGCGGCACTCCTCCCACTGCTGTGGCTGATGGAGGAGGAGCATGTCTCTGTACCATGCTCCCTCGCGGTTCCCGGCACAGGAGCCGCAAGGGAGCATGGTACAGAGACATGCTCCTCCTCCATCAGCCACAGCAGTGACAGGAGCAGGGCCGCCGGACCGGGGAAGCTGCCACCCGGCCCGGCGGCTCCAGCCAGGAA